AGTTTATCACAACTAGTTAAATATTAAGTCATCATGAGTAAAAGCTGCTTTGTGGCAGCTACTTCCTCTGTCGCAGGTCACGCTATCTGATTTGTGATAAAGGTCTCTGTTCAACAGGTTCATGTCCTGTCAGTCTGAGCTCTGGAAATCCAATTACGTTATTTACTTGATCCACCTTTAGTGTACCTTGCAAGCCTGCCCACACTAAATCCAGCTCCTCCTCTTCTCCAGATGTGTCCTGGGCTCCTGTAACCGGTACAGTTGCAGGTGAAGTGAAGCTTTCAATTCTGTACAAGAGCGACAAGCTTTTCATTATGGTGATGCACATCAGAGGCTTGGTGAGTGTCTGGCATTACTCATCATATGCATATGCTCATAATGCACATAAAAAAGTTGAGTTGGTGCTCACCAATGTTTGGACCTTTCTTCAGCAACCCTTGCAGGACGGAACAGATCCTGATCCATACGTCAAATTGTACCTCCTCCCAGACCCTCAGAAAACTAGCAAGAGGAAGACCAAGGCAGCCCGGCGAACATGCAACCCCACTTACAATGAGATGGTGAGAAAAGTCGTTTTCTCCATAGGGGAAATTATTATTATTATTTTTTTGTCATTCACAATGCTTCATGGGATTGTAGTTGTATCCCTTATTAGAGCAGTTTTTTTTCTTTTGCTTTGGTGAATGGCTTTTAAAAAAACTCTTTAAACAAAAAGGAGGGGGGACAGGCACTGTTGCACTTTATTTTTATGATTCTTCTTGACTGACATCACTTTTCTCCTTTTCTCTTGGCAGCTGGTGTATGACAAGATTCCACGTGGTGATTTGCAGCAAAGAACCATTCACCTGCGGGTACTGAGTGAGGGTGCATTCTGGGAGAATACCCTGCTGGGTGAAACCATTATTCAACTGAAAGACCTCACCCCGGGCCATCGCTGGGTTGGCTGGAACCAGCTTGGCACTAGAGGCTCTGACATAAACCGCTAACACTTGTGTGAATGCCCACTGGAAGTGAAGGATTTCACATGAGTCCTTCAGTGTGCATGCGTTTGTGTCTGTCTTTGCTTATGGGTCGGGAGTTGGAGATGCCCAGCTGCTCAGAAGGCTGTTTCCCCCAGTGGGGGTTTGTGTTTGTTGATTCTCCTACCCAGGAGACGTGTAGAGTCAGTGATTGAGTGCCATCACTTGATACTTTTCTATTGGGGTACTGTGCACCATGTGGACCAGACCTTGGATTTATGAAAGCAGTTCTTGGTGACACTATGGGACAAAAACCATTTGGTGACACAAGGATTGGCAGAAAGAATATTTAAAGATGAAATGACTTCCATACGCCATATTTTTGGGGGGATTTCTGGAAAATTGCAGTCCATGAAACTTTAAAGCCCCATTTTGTCTTCTTGAGAATGCTAATGGAAATGTAAGTTATTTTCTTGTTCTTGTGGAAATGTATGTTTCTCTATTGTGGCTCAATTTTGAGCTATGTTGTGTCTTGTGACATTAGTTTTGTCTCTTTGTATCAGATTTTGCAGACATTTACCTAGGAATTAAAGTGAGGACCGCTTTTGTACTGTAAAGTTGGGTAATTTCACATTGCCTGTGGCATTTACCTGATCATGAAAAAGGAATGAACACTTGATAGTCTTTGGCTTGAAATTGTGGAATTAACTTGCTCCATATAACCACTGCAGGAAGTGGCACAAACAGTACAGAGTGAATGTAGATTTTTGATCATGTAAAGTAGGTGGGTTCATAAAAAAAAAAA